TTTATGCAGAGCCAGTTTGGTTTAGTGGTTAAGGCTCCAGGCCAGAAACTGGGAGACAGTAAATTCTAGTTCCACCTTAGGCATGAAAGCCAATTAGGTGACTTTGGGCCGGTCCCTCTCTCTTTCAGCTCAACCCACCTCACAGAGTTGTTGCAGTAAGGAAAATAGGAGAAAAAAGGAACATTAGGCATATTCACCGCCTTGAATTCTTTATAAAAAAAAATAACAGAGATGGGACAAAAATAAATAATGTCCTTTACAAAACGTTCAATGAAAATTTATTTTTTAAAAAAAAAAAAGAAATGAGAAAGAACTCCGCCTTGAATGGCCCTTGACAAATGCTTGACCCCCATCTACAGAGGGCAACTTTGAAATGTTTCAGACGCCTTGTGGAGATGGCAAGTGCAGCAAAACCTTGCAACAACCATCTCATGGTTCTTATCGAAAGAACAAACGGGGCGGGTCTGCCCAAGTATGATACACAACCCTTCCCACACCATTCCAGCCACAACAGTTGCAGGCAATTCTCACCCAACACTTTACTTGGAAGGTCATGCGCTGGGGCAAAGCTCCAAGAAGTCCCTTCAAGGGCATAGCTCTCATCGCAGGACACTTGGCAGAGGCTTAAATTAGCATCGAGGGACCCTCCTATCCAACTTATTTATTTATTTACCAAATTGATATGGCTGCCCATCTCACAAGAAGTGACTCTGGGAGGTGTAGAGCAAAAACAATGAGGCTAGTCCTCAACATGTAACTGTCTGCCCATTAGGGTTACACTGTATGTCATAATGGTTGTAAAAACTGCAACCGATTTTATGACCTTTTCATGGGCTAATCATTGAGCAAATTATTAAGTGGAGGCTGCAGTCATTAAGTGAACTAAAAGTGAAATGCAGTTTTGCGGAAAACTGGAAGGAAGTGCTGGTTTTCAGCCAATGCCGTCATGTGATGGTGGGACGTTCCAAATGGCCACAAAGGCGCCATGTTGCCAAGCACTCAAAGTTTAATCCCCTGAGGGCAGAAGAGGGCTGACCATTGGAACTTTGAATCCAGGTGATAAATCCCGCCTTTTTAGGTCAGTCGTAGCTTCAAATTGTCGCTAAGCGAGAGGTCATATGCGAAGGGCTACCTGTAAACATGTCAAACACAGTCATATATTTTTTTAAAAAAGGCAAACCCAAGATCAGCAATGGAGCCACCTCAAGATCTCACTGGCTCTCTGAGTTCACCAAGTTTGATGACACAGCCAGGTCTCCAAGGACTTCCAGAAAAGCAGAATGGAGCTAGCTAACCTCACTTCGGAACGGAGAATGTTCTAGAAGGTGGGTCCCATGGCTTGCCTTCTCAGAGCCACCAAGTGTAGACCCCCTGAGAGACAGGACCCCACAGCATGCCTCTTACCAGATCCAGTGAGATTTCAAGATGTCAACATCTTTCTTCAATCGGTGGGAGACAGACACGTTTGTTTTCCCACTTAATTTTCTACCAGTCCCAGACCTTTGCAAATCTCCTCCGTGGCCCCCTCCAGCCCCCAAGTCAAGTTTGGACAGAAATGTCCGTTCAGAGCCATGTTTTGTTTACATCGCACAAATAAGGAAAACCACAGCTGTTTCTCTTGCTAGTCCAGAAACATCTGCGCAGACGGGAGCCACACCTGGTGCTAAGCCATGGTTGGTTGAATGATGGCTTATAGAATTGGCTTAGATGAGCAGAACAGGCCAAACCATGTGCTCTGCTTCATACAAGGGTTGCAATCGACAGCATGTTCAGACCAGTGCAAAGGCAGGACATACTGGGGCTCAGCCTGTGGTGTGAGCCATACGGAGAAATGCTGGGATATTGGGAGCTTGAGTCAGTAGTCTTAGATCATGTTCTCCTCACCTGGCCCTCTCCAGGTTCATTGGCCTTCCAGTCCCACAACTACTATCCAGAAAAGCACCTGAAAGCCAACTCATCTGAAAGACAGTAGGCTGGGGAAAAAAAGATCAAGATGGATAATCCTGCATCTCGCTTGAAAGATTTTTCACACTTTGGTGGCCTCTCTTGGCAGCCTCTCCTGGGCTCACTTGTGACCTCTCTGTATTTCTTTACAGTCTCGTCCAACAAGCTTCCTTATCCGGGCATTCCTACCTGCCTTTAGATTTCTCCTACACCCTTCTGTCTACAAATATCCATCTGGGGGTCATGAGATTCATCCCTCCTTCCTTTCTCCACCTTAGGTCGTCTCCTCTTTGGAAGAACTAACCAACACCCACAAATAAGCCCACTGTAGACCCACATGAGCTGGCTGGTTTCTAGTCAGGTTGTAGGAGAACTCAGAAGCTGGACTCTTCTTAAGCCATCAGTTGCTAAGCCCACTGGCTGAAGGCCACTTCCTCCAGCCTGGAAAACCATGGCTGCACTAAAAGGAAATTAAGGGTGTTATAGCAATAGCACTTAGATTATATGCTGCTTTATAATGCTTCACAGCCCCTTCTAAGCAGTTAACAGGGGGGGGGGAACAATCTGTGTCCTCATTTTACCCCCCTCAGAAGAATGGAAGGCTGAGTCAACCTTGAAGCTGGTGAGATTTGAACTGCCAATTTGTAGGCAGCCGATAAGTCAGCTGAAGTAGCCTGCAGTACTGCATTCTAACCACTGTGCCATTGTGGCTCAATCGGTTATAGTCAGAACAGAAGGAAGCTGCATTGAGAAGGCTGCTGTGGATTATGGGTCCTTAGCTACCAGCTCCCTGGTCACAATATCAAGCACCTATATCAAGCATATTTAGGAAGGAGAAGAAAAATATTGTCTACAATTTTAACTGATGGGAGTCCTATCATCATCCATGTGCCAGGCTACAAATAGGCCAGCTTGAACATGGGTGGACTTCAACTCAAGGTCAGGCACCCAATGGATAACTAACTCAAAGGAACCAAACCACAAGGCCTTGCCTTAACAGCCTTCATTACACCACTGAGAGGAATTATGTCATGTCATTTGCACAGTGACATCATGAACACAGATGACATCATCCTGGCTTCTCATAGCCAGCAACCATTCCCTGCATAGATGGGATGAATAATTTTCTGAGAGGAAACGCTACTCAAATCACTTGGTGTTTACAGAACGTTATGCACAGCATGTTACTATGCGCATAATAAATTGATCTATGAGCTAACTGAATGAGCCAGGCCTATGCAACATACTGTACCAAGCCACACCAAAACTACCCAAGGGTGAAATTAAACTGTGCACGTTGCACACACTAAGTTTATAGCTGACCTAATTAAGTGTTGTGTGGATATCTACTGCGCTTCTTTTTTCATTTTTTGAAATTTTATCCCTCTTATTCTTCAAGCAACTGTGACTTTCACCCCAACTTATGCACTTAGAAAGGCGATGTCACAGATGAGTCCCTGTTAAAACTCAGGAACAGAGGGGCCAAGTACGATGGCCCCATCTTTGTGGAGGAATGCAGAAGTTGGTTCTTTGAAACAAACTGAAAAACTAAAGTTGAGAATCCTAAGAGTCAAATGAATAGCCTATGTTGAAGTATCACTCAAGACAAAAGGTGCCCCACCCAGCATTCTCTAAATGGGTTTTTTCAAAGTTATTTCATGTCCAAAGTCCCTTGTGATTATAGCTACCAGAGTTTGGGAAATTTCCCCACATGGAGACAAAAGCAGAAATCTTGAGCAACATTCAAGATTTAGGGTATAGGGTAAAGTCATCCTATACCCCCTCCCACACCAAGGTTCAAGATATAGGGTATAGGGCAAAGTGACCCTATAACCCTCCTCCTACCCCACCTATATCAAGCATAGAAAGAGAAGAAAAAATATTGTCTATCATTCTGACTAATGGAAGTCCTATCATCATCCTGGTGGTGCCAGACTACAAATAGGCCAGCTTGAAGATGAGCGGACTTCAACTGCCAGAATTCCCCAGGCGGCCTTGCTGGGTCATACAATATATTTGGAGAACCAGGCCAAAAATCAGAATTTGCGGAGGCAAAGCTCTTACGAAGGGACAGGCCTGGGTGGTCAGACCAATTGGGTGTGGGGGGGTGGAGGAAATATATTTTGGGGTGGTGGATTAAGAGAGCCTCCATCCATCCGTGAAGCGGTGGCTCGGGCCTCAACTTTCTTCCCCCCTTTGTGCAGCAAAGGGGAAGCTGGAGTGCAGGCCAGCCTCGACCCCGTCCCCTCCCCTCCTCCACCCCCTCCTTCTTCCCAGGAAGCCCAAGCCCACCCTTCCTGCAGACCCCATTCAAGACCAGCCTCGGCAGAACTTGGGGAGGGGGAGGAGGAGAGAGCAACTGTCCCCCTTGAGGAGGGAGGGGCTCCCCCACCCAGCCACCCACCCACCCAAGGTCAGAAAGAAAACCCAGGCAGGTGGTCTCGCCTTCAATCCCCAAGCAGCTGTCCGGGGAGATGCCAGTTCTGGGTTGGGGAGGGAGTGGGATGGTTATTTATAAACCCCCCAATCCAGGGGGGGGGGCGGGCTGCATGGCTCCCCCCTCCCCATGCTGGGTCTGAGATCCCGGGAAGAAGTTGGGTGGGGGGTGGGGCTGCTTTATCTGTGCCTTTCCTAGCAAAATGTCCTGCGGGAGGGAGCCGGTCCCAGCTCTAAGAATCAGCCACAGAAAAACCCGGGGGGAAAAATCGGGCTCCGTGTCCTTCTTCTCACCGGTACCTCTCAGTCTCCCCCTCCCGCCCCAGCCCCCCGCCGGTCCCGCAAAGAAACCCGCGTTTTCCCACTCCCCACCACGCCGCCCCCCCCCTTGCAAGCAGCGGCAGTCGGCAAGGGGAGGGCGGGCAAGGTCCCACGGGCGGATCCCCTTTTCCTCCGGCGCAGATCGAGTCCAAATCTTTTTATCTTTCTACCTCCGCTCCCCCCCACACACACAACCCGCCACGTTCCTCCTCATCCCCTCCCTCCCCCCTCCCCCCCTCCCCAGTCCTTTACAGCCGCAGCCGCCTCTGCTCCGAAGCGGGACTCCGCAAAATATTTACCTCCCCGATCGGCCGGCTGTTGCTCCCCGCCGGGGCCCTCGGGCTGCTCGGCGCTCTTCTCCATCCTGGCTCGTAGGAGGGACGGAGGCGAGGAGCGGGGGGGGGGG